GCAGTGAGCGGCAGAAGGGAAGACCAAATTAAAATCGTCCGAATTCTCATGCACATACAGAAACATGGAACGATCATCACGTTTCGATGCAGAAACCGCTTTGATGTTTGCTGCCGTAAAATGCCACCGATGGATGCCTAGAACAATGAAAAATCACTTTTGTACATGCAAATATGCAAAAATTCATACTTATCCAAAAAAAAAACTTATGTTTATTTATGCAAATTGGGTGAAGCAAACAATGCAAAAAAGGTCATACCTGGAGGAGGTTTCTTGTGCTGGCTACTCTCCAGTACATGACTCAGAATTATCGAGCCCTCGCTCACATTCAGCGTCAGAAAACTTGGCGTATATTGCTGAAAGAGGCTGAAGTATTATACTGAAAAGTACTGCCCAACGAACAGACAAGCACGACGGAACTTACTTTTGTAACTTCCTGGATCAGGACCGGGAAACGTCCGCATACTATTTCTTGCTCGGAATCAATAGCTTCCATGAAAAACTCGGACCAAAACAAGAACTGTTGCTTCTCCTTTTCCACTGGTGACATCGTCGCTGCGCAACGATTCAGAAGTTTGATATTTTCCATTGTCGATTTCAGAAACCTATTTTACAAAAAAACTAGTGCGGTGAAGAAGTTTTATTTAAAAGTTTATAAAAAAACATTTAAAAAAAATAGGCCAGTTAAAGGAGATGATTTAATTGTACAGTTTACCATATCGGAGGTTTCATGATTGCCATTTTCAAGGCTGCTTGACATGCCTTTGGGTAATCCTCGGCCAACACAGACACTTCAAAATATGTTGCCACATCCCAGTACTCCGTTAAGTTCGCCAGTGCGCCTTTTCTTCCCAGCAAACTATTCAGCACAACCGCTATAAAGTGAAAATTCCATAAAAAATACTGAAGAACACAAATAATTACAGCAATCAGAACTCTGTGTAACCCCAATTTCGTAAAAGTAAAAAAGAGTTCGTACTGCTGTTCCACGGAAAGAAGCCACTTTTTAAAGCAGTTCCGCATTGTAATCATTAATTACTTTCAAAAATCTTACTTGCAGCAACACTTTTTCCCAATAATTTTTATAAAACCATCAAAAATTTTTTTAAAAAAACCAGTAATTAGAAGCAAAATTAAAGCATACAACTACGTTACAGGAACTGATAAAGTGCTGCTAAATCGTGATGGCCCTATATAAACTAATGGAAAAAGTGGCTCCACTGTTACTACGATTATCGCTGTTATCAATTATTTTTACTACACTGATACTGTTATTACCAGAAAGACCTGCAATGCAGAACCAATCAGTGTTTTTCAAATCTCACCAAACAGTATTTTATCCCAATATTTGACAGTTGGTAAGTTATTTAAACAGAAATGCTCAAAATTCCCAAAAAATTTTTTCTCCACCAGTTGCTCCGTCGTAATAGATATATTAAAACTGCAGATTTTGCATTGGAAAAAATTTCATTTGTTTTATTTTTGTGTAATTAAACAGCGTCAATTTAGCCTTCTCGTACACAGAGTGGCAATGCTCTTTATGCTCATTCTCATTCTTTTTATTTATAAGCGACATACGTCAGTACGATCCGCAAAACAGAGGTTCTTCAGGAAAACTCAATGTTCGTCAGTTCTCGAATTTAAAGTGGTCCCATCATTACATCAAAATTTACACGAGGAACATACCGATCTGTTGCATCTCACTATTATTTTCAAAAGTTTCCCCACGAGCGCGGAGTAGCGTGATCAAATTGATGCCCGAGTATTCAAGCGGCGACAGATCGAATGCTCGTCGATACCATTCAATTGCTTTGTCCAGTGATTCGCGATCCTCGTAGTTGCTGGTGATAAATTTGTCCTTGTAGATACGCCCGGCCAGACAGATAACATCCGGCGAGACGGCGGTACCATCTTTGCAACTGGAAGTTATCTGCAGCACTGTCTGAAGAGCACGATCGCGATCGCCTTCCCTGTTTCGTCTGAAGAACAACGTCCCCGTTCAGACCCCAGAAATACTATCCTTACCACTCATTTTGACACTTTATTTTTTGTACTTTGTCCAGCTGTTTTGTCAGTTCCCTCAAGCCAATTCGCATCTGCACACCAATTCTGCATCTGGCAACTTTTCTAAAACTGCTTGACCAGATCTATGTAAGCCTAATGGTGAAACTAGCGTTCGTTTTGATACTGTGTTAATTTTTTTTTTTTTTTTTTAAAAAAAAAGAGGAAACGCAAAAAACATCCCACGTAAATTTTAACTTGGCTATCTGAGAACCAGGGATAACAATCAAACCCCAAATTCATCTTACCAAAATGAGAAGAACCCATACAACTAAAGGGAGTTATTATGAACCATGCCAATCTGAACAGGGAGAGAGATGAGAATAAAGAAAGAAGAGAGGCAAAATACAATTAAAAGATGATCAAATTTTAGGTACTCCCGAAATGTCCTCACCTATAAATAGTTTAAAAATAATTTCAACAGGTGAAAAACACCAAAAAAATGTTTATAATGTTGAAGGAGGGAGAAGGGACGGGATATGCAGGAATGTGACAAGG